GCACAGCCCTGTGCCTGGCACGGTAGGCCCAGCCAGCACGCACCAGTACCGGCGCTGCCGGAAGGCGAAGGCTTGGAGGGGGGAGCCCAGGAGGAACATAACAAACAGGGCAGGGCTGGGGCTGTTTACCCTAGGTTATACTGTCCTGAGCAGCAGGCTGCATCCAGACCGTTGCATTGGGAAACGATCGGAGGATGCAGCCTGCAGGACTGATCTAATCTCTTTCGGAACCCTCTTACACCTTCAGCTTCCACCGAGGCACCCTGCAGCAGCACGTCCCACAGGGCAGCCACATGCCAAGTGGCGGCGGTGTCCCCCCCATGACTGGCATCATCACACCCTGTGTTGGATGGATGGAGCTGGAGAAGGGAGAGCCTCGGCACTGGAGCCTGGCTCAAACCTTCTCCAGCAAACGGAGCTGGCGGGTCCACCAGCACGTCTTGATGAGAGCCACGTCAGAGGAGGCTTGTCTCCAGACAGCCGCATCGAGTTTCGGATCTAGTTAATCCCCCCTTTATCAGCACAGGAATGTATTGCTTTTCACAAAACTTAATCCTCTTTGCAATCATGTGTTCTGCCAAACTACAAACTTTCTGCTCCTGTCCTTCCTTCCCGGGAGAGGATTTGCGGCAATAATCCAGGCCTACCAATTTATGTCTTTAATGAGCAAGGGACAAATGAGCACAGCATTGTAGAACACGCACACACCCAAACCTTGAAGCGTTCCCCAGTTCCGGCATGCCTTTGAGGGATGCCCTGAGCTGAAGGACCGAGGCTGGAAGTGGTGACCTCCACTCGTGCTGGAGCCCAGACAGAGGGCAGAGGAGGCTGCAGCCGCAGCCAGGGCCCACTCATGACCGTGGGCAATTCTGGAGACAGCAAATGTCAGCAAGTGCTCGAGGAGGATGAGATGTTCTGAAGGGTCCATGCAACTGGGGTCTTTATGAGATTAGCTATCAGCTGAAAGGAAGCGGAACAAGTATCACAGCCCTGGTAGCCCTCGGGAAGCCATGGCTGAGAGAGCCCCTGGCAGGGGGAGCTCCCTTCGCAGCCCCTGCTGGTTGCCTGGCCAAGCTGCGAGCCTCAACCCAGCATCACATTGACAACTGGAGATAGACTCGCCAAGGGCATGGGTGGCTTACAGGTTCCCTAAATACCCCCCAGTATATTATTTACCACTTTTCACTCTAAACCCACTGAGCTGCCTCGTTACCCGTTGCTTCACCTTATGAACCCTACTGAAAGATGATGTGTGCTAGAACTTTGTTTCATCAAACCACCGATATGTTCTACTTCTCCTTCCAGTTCCTTAGAAACAAAACAGGGAATGTCACCGCTCTGCACCTGCTGGCTTTTAGAGACAGAGCTCTGCACACCGGGGAGCTCCCATCACAGCGTGGGGTCACTCTGCCTGCCCCAGGGAGAGGGCTTGGGGGAGGACCAGTTAATTCAGAGCTGGAGCAATCCCGTGGTGTTCACCAAATGGACGCTTTCGCCAGCACAGCCTGGGTGGCCACAGAAACTGCTCTGTGGGCCACAAGCAGCCTGTGGCCTGACACAGGCTGTCCGTGCTTCTTGTGTTTATGCACTACTGGGGCTGGCTCTCATACAGGCCTGCCAAACTTCTCATCGTGCAAATAAAATAGCAATCTCGGGTAGCACAACACGAAGGAAAGGCACCCTGGGTGCCTCTGCTTGTTCAGATCTAAAAAGGCAGCTCTAAGCACGCATGACTTGCTGGGACCTGAAGATGTTGTGCGCTTCCCAAGACAGTGAGCCCTGCATCTGGTTTGCACCACCCAGGGAGGAAAATATTTTTGCTGCCCTCAAAATGCTGAGAGGGTGGGAATGATGAATCTGTGACCTGCCCCTTCTTTTGGCTGCCAGATACTGTGGTAAAATCATACCCATCCCGTGAAGAGGTGTTCCAACTCACCTCCCTACATGACAGGTGGCTGCCCCACTTCCAGCCCTTCGCATGGGGGAAGCTGGAACTCGCATCCACCCAGTAAAACACACGCCGCTCTGCAAGCGGCTCCTCTGCCGTCCCGACGGCATCCGCAGGCAATTTAAAACGAATGCGGCTTCCTTATATTCCTTCCCCGCAGCGCGCTGCGGCGAGGGCGCCAAAGCCGCCCCCCCCCCGGCAGGGCCCACCATCGCACCGCAC